CCTCTGCACAGAACATACCATGGCCTGTGCCTGCTATATATATCTATACATATTTCCATGCATTTTTTACCTTGTAATAGAATTTCTTTTAGTAGCACAGAATATATAGTCTCTGGATAAATACTTTCCCACTTTTCCCTCAAACAAAGCAGTTTTAGGAAGTAGGTGAATGCATTTTACTAAAATAATTTCACATGTCTTTCCAAAAAATCTGTCAGTATTCATTTCTAGCCTGGGTTCAATAAATATGTCAAGCTTAACTAAAATATTTTTTTAATTAGGTAGAATAGAAAAAATATTCAGTGAGATCCCAAAGAAGATTTGAGGTTCTAAATTTCCTGTGGGACAGGAGATGCCCAATACAATATAACTCATCCCTTCAGGGTTTGCTGGGGTTTGTATGTTTGGAGTTTTTTTATGTATTATCTTTAGAGACAGTAGCAAACACATGAAGAAAAGAGAATGTGATATGTCTTGAAATCACTCAGAGAAAACACTGATGTTGAATGCTCCCTTAAACACAAGCAAGTAAAGGTCACATTGTTTCTGTATTATTTCCATTCCATTATGAAACAGAGATAGTGAACAGCAACATGCATTCCTCTGATAAATGTACAGCTAAAAGAAAGATCCTCCCAAAGAAGCAAGATCAGCATAGCTCTCTGCCTGTTATTTTGCTTTCAGCTAATACCCCACTCCCCAAGAAAAATTCTGCTGACCTTTCACTCCCCATTCAATCCTGGCATATATATCAGAAATTATTGGACCAATGAGCATTTCACATGCATTTCACATCAGGAGGAAAAATGCATCCTCACAAAACATACTTCTAAAGGACAGGACAAAACTGCCATTTGCCATTTTCTGTTACTATCCATTCCTAAGATCAAACACTGCATGCTAAAACAGAATCTCTGGAAATACCTTCCTAGTCAAATGTGCTCAAAATCTCTGTACAGACTTCAGTGCTTTTTTCAATGTACTCACAATTGAGAAAAAAATCCTCTTACTTTTACAGACTCTAGTTCCACAAAGCACTTAAGGAAATATTTTTCCAGTGATGCATTTATCCATAGAATTAAAAATATGCAAATATTTAAACCAAGCTCTATTTATGCTATTCCCCATTCACTGGCAGAAAAATTCCAGTCTTCTGATGGTAATTTTACTGTTTATTACTTTTTATTAGAAGTATGTTACACAAATATAATACTAAAACCAATACTAATAATATTTCAGCACACCAGTGAATTCCACTGTGGTATGTCTACCCATAGCAAAATCCTGCAACTCATTCTACTTTATCCTGAAGAATGATTAGCTGAAATCTGGACCTTATGGAAAATAACCTGATTGTAGCATATTGTAGCTATGATTGTAGCTGAACACTGTCAAGGTAAAAAAAATCCTATATAAAAGCTAATATATGGGAAAACAAGAAAAAATCATAGGGAATATTTAAATCACTAGGTCTTCAGTCTTTGTAGTTCTGATATTCAAAGTGCCTCAGAATTAATCCTACCTTTTTCTTGAGGCTAAGGAAGCACTAAAACAGTGATATTTTTATAGCAGTCAAAGTCAAAGTGTGCAAATACTTACATGCTTCCTCATTTGGACTGGGTTGTATCTCACAGCTTTGGAAATTAGGCCAGATATGGCCCAATAGGTCATTCTACCATCCCAGAAGCAGAACAAAACTCAAACTGGTAGACAGAAGCTGTCACAATTAGTCAAAACATCAGTGATACAACAATGGTCTCAGTGACCCACTCTAAAGATTTTTTGGACAGTAAAGACTCTTCTTCACTTTCAAAATCACTACTTTTTGCCTCTGAAAAAGCAAAATTTGATTTAAGGTATTGAATAAATAATATTGCATCCACAAGACATTATATGTTGAGCCAGCACAGGCTCAACCTGCCACTTGACATTCTTACAAAAAGTTCTGTAGTGCATCTCTGTCCTAGCAGATGTCAGATCCTTGTCATCCAACCTCCTAGAGCCAGATAAACCTGGTGCCAAGTATCAGACCAGAATAAGTACCGTAATGTGGTCTCCCAATAATTCAGCTGAAGTGCCAGAGTGCAATTATGTATGATCCAGATAAAATTTATACTGCCAAGTAATTTGATAAAACACAGATACAGCATTAGTGGGCACAGAGCCACAGGCTTCAAACAAGTACAAGTATCAGGAACAATATACACTAGCCAGCTTTTACTCCATTCTTTGCAAAGTCCTCTGAGTTTTTGCTATCATTAACTGGAATTCTACTTGGGATTCACACTTAAGTACACATGGTCTACTTAAGATGTCTGTCATCATAGTGGCAATGTTGATAAATTGTTTTTAAAACATGTTTTGCCATGTTTTATTTTTATGTCTGCCTCTGAAATTTTATGAAACCACACTAGTACGTGAATTAAAAGTAAACCAAAAATCTCCCAAATATTTCCACTTTTTTTTTTTTCTCCTTATGGAATTATTTTCCCTTATGTTCTTATCTATTTTTTACCAGTCTGCATGCAGAGAGCACACTAAGAAAGGACTCAATCCCCATTTTGTTGGTTTTGCTGAGACAAATATTTGGGAAGAATTATTTTTAAATTCTCCTGGTCCCTATATGAAGAAGATGGAGAAGAAAGAGTTCTTGTTTAACAGAATTCCAGAAAATAACTTAAATTCTGCATAAAAGTTTCATGGACCTTATAGGGAGTAATTATAAAAGACAAAATATTTTTAATTTAAAACTATCTACATTGAAAAACAAATATTTTTATTTTCCTCTTCCAAATATATTTTCCACAAGTTTGGATGGGTTTTGAGCAACCTGGTCTAGTGAAAGGTGCCCTTCTCCATTGCAGGGGCTTTGGAACAAGATGAACTTTAAGATCTCTTCCAAAGCATTCTACAGTTTTATGATTTTATGAAAATTTTATGTGCTCTGAGGAGCACATTTGGGGTTGATCCAAATAAAACAGTTTTGCAACTTTGTAAAGTTGACAGGATAATTTAGCAAATATTCTACCAAAAAAAGACAAGACCCCAAGGTCCTTCTCCACAGAGCTGCTTTCCACTCTCCCCTGATCTATCCAGGTAGCTGGTTCATCACAGAAGGCAATTAGGTTGGCCAACCATGATTTGCCTTTAGTGTAGCCATGCTGACTACTCCTGATCACCTTCTTGTCCCCCATATGGACAAAGATGGCACCTGGAATGAGGTGCTCCATCACTTCCCAGGGATTGAGGTGAGGCTGACAGTCTGGTAGTTCCCTGGGTCCTCTTACTTGCTGTTTTTGGAAACCAGAGTGACATTTCCTTTTTTTTAAAGTCCTCAGTCACCGCTACTGAGTGCCACCAACTTTTAAAGGTGATTGTGAGTGGCCTTGCTATGGTATCCATCAATTCTCTTAGCATTTGTGGATAAATCCTAGCAGGGCCCATTGATTTGAGTATATCATGTTTGCCTGGGTGTTCTCTAACCCAATTCTCCTTGATCAAGGGAAAGTCTTCCTTCCAACACTCGTCTACCCTGGTCTCCCAGGTCAGAGATTCCTGCAGGCTGATCTTTTCCCAGTGCAAAGGCAGCCTTCTCTGCATCCCCTGTTACCAGGGTGTCCCTTCCATTTGGTTACAGGCCCACATTATACTCACCTTTCCTTTGTTATTCATGTATTTGAAAAAGCCCTTCTTGTTCTTCTTGACATCCTTTTCCAGATTTAATTACAGAGGGGCCTTGACTTTCTTTATGTTTCTCATTGCATGTGCAAAAAAGGAACACAAGAACACAAGAACGCATACACTTTTTTTTTTTTTTTTTTTTTTAAATGTGTATCCAAAGTGCCAATTATTTAGATCACATACAGGAAAATTTTTCTGAATATTCATTTTTGCATGATCTGCACTGGGGATCATCTTTTAAAAACATAACAAAAATTTGATGTTTCAAACTTCTTCATCAACTAATGCTCTGTTATTAAAGACAAATACCTCTAAGTAAGTAAAAGCCAAAATCAAGCGATATTACCGGTCTTCAATTAAATTACTTAAGTATTCTGCAAGGAGCTATTCTACTAGAAAAGATTTTTCATTCTTCTGCATTAGCCATCCAGCAGACACATTTGCATATCTCAAATACGTTAAATAAAGTAAAATTAAATAGGAATATTTGATATTCCAGTACTGATCAATAGCTCTTAATCAAGATGCCACAGTCTAATTCGCAGTTTGAAACCTGATATGAGTTTCAACCTGATAAGGTTATTGAGAAACGAGCACTAAATGCTGTTATCTGTAATATTGATACATCACATGGAATGCGTATGAAGCATGAATAATGAGCTAAAAGCTATATAATAAAGACTGCCTATAGTAAGTCCTGGTTTTGGTATATTGTTTACATTGGGTGGTAACAACTGCTCATTTTATTTCCAGGAAAGACCTTGAAGATAAAAGGAATGTGATAATTTTAAAACCATAATTTTTTATATATATATATGCATATATATGCATGTATGTATGTATGTATGTGTGTATATATATATATATATGTATGCATATATATATTCCTTCTCCAAGGGAGATGGAAACATGCTGCTAACCAGAGCTGTGCTTATCAGAGCTTTGCTTTGTAGTTCCTCATGTTGTTCCAGAGGCTTTTTCCTCAGTACTGGTAACTATCCACCTAGTTACAGTGCTGTCTTGAGTTATTGTTAAAGTAGGAAATTAGGTGGTTATTGGGGGCTAGAATGAACTTTTCATGATTCATAGAATAATCAGAGACAATGGGATGCCATATTCTATGTCTTTGGACCATATAAAGCCAGGTCACTTTCAAAAGGCAGAAGGAAGCATTTTCAGCTATTTTCAAGTTTTTATTCGACTTTTAAATAGGACAAAATTCCTAATTTATAAAAGAAAATAAACATTTTAATCTATTTATTTATGTTTACTGTAATTCTTCCTCTCTTTTCTTTCTCTCCCCCCCACTTTTTTTTTTATCTTTGGTACTAGTAAGAAATTTTCTTCTCTTAATGTGCAGGTCTGGGAATCAGGAATTTTATGTTATTTTTTCCCTCAAGATTTCCTGTGCAGACACAAATAAACTTAACCTCTATGTCAGTTCTCACACCTGGTAAAAGAACTTCACCTTTATACTTATCTACTTTATAGAGAGTGTCTTCTCTCCTGTTTATGATTCTTGATTGTTGCCAATTTTAATCCATTCATGTTTGTAGAGTATTTGAGGATGAAAGGTGCAAGAGAAAATTAAATTGTCTTATTTTGTGGAAAACTATTTTAAATAAAACATCATGCAATGATTTCAAATAAACCACTCTCTTGTGATCTACATTTAGGATGCTTGTCTACATTTACACAGCAAGAGGCAGGTTATCCTTCAATCTAAGTCATATGAGGATATTGACTTCAGCTGATGCCATCAGGCCTCAAAGAAGGCTCCCTGTCCAAAAATAGAGAAGACAGACTAAGGAGTTTACCTGTTGCCTTTGTTATCTACTCCTTATATTAATTAACTCACTGTCTTATTTTGGCCCCATTACCAAATCCTCAAAATGCCAAGAAAAGGAGACTAGTGAATGAAAGAGCAACAGGTGGTTTGAGAACTGTTCATTCATCTAATTCACAGGACTTCTAATGTAAGATACCAGGATTTTTCAGTCTCCCTGTAATCTTATTGGGGCAGGTTTTCAAATGAAGCTGTATTAAATCAAGCTTATAAGCCATTATCTGAGGTTTAGAAGGCAGCAGTTTTTTCTACCATCCATGCCAGAGTCTTTCTGTGGCCCCATTCTAATATTACTGCCTTCATCAAATTGCCACTTTTCCTGCTGCAGACAGCAACTGCTTCATTTACTCAGCAGAACCTCCATTTCCAGTAAAGGTGCAGACTCTAAGAAGAAAAAACTGTTCTAGCAAAAATCCTAGAACTTAGCAAAGGTAGACCACCTGTTACTGGTTCTGGTTTATTGCTGAAGTATCTTGTCTCCCAAGGAATGCCTTTCCTAAATGCTTAGCCATTCCTCTCCCTTGTTCACCATTACTTCAAGAATCCTGAGATACTGAGGGATTCTGGGTTGCATGTTCCATTCCACAGGTATGGAACAAGTTGTCTAAAGGCAAGAAAATTCATTAACACTGTATGCCTTATTCATCATGACCACCTAATTTGGAAAGTTTCTCCATGGGTAAATGCACCTGAGAAACAGATGAAAGGTTATATATTTGCTAACATATTCATGCAGATGAGCCTCACACGAGAAGAAAACAGGGCCAACCTGCTTAGGCTGGTTTGCAGCTTACCACAGATGCATCAGAACCGAGAACAAACCTCACTGCTGACGACAGCATGTGTTTTGCATGTAGTGGAAATGCCCATCTTTTACGCAGGTTCTTGAGTGTAGAAAATAATTTTGTAGAGGCTGGGTTTGTTTTTTTAAATAATACTAACCTATTCATGAGACATTTCAGATTAAGCAGATATAACTTCTACCTCTTCAATTCTTCTAAATTTTCCCCTTTTTTTAAATATAAAAACTCAGCCTATTTTTCTGAACATCTCTCAGACAGAGGATCAGTTATACTAAGCTTTGTGTTGTGTAATATATTTTTTAAGTGACCACGAATGTCATATCTATAATCCTACAGATAGTGACCTGTCCTTCCATAAGCCTCAGTTCTCTTTACTCCGGATAAATTTCTGTTCAATTTATGATATTCCTCTCAATGGGGGTACTGCAAACTACTGTTTGCCTCTCACAAATGGCCAGAATTTTAATGTAAGCAAGCTTAGATGGCTGAAGCACCAAGGACGGATGAGAAGACTATCATGGGGAGCGGGAACAGCAGGCTAGAAACATTGAGAAAATCTGTCACAGAACTGGAGATTTCCAGGATCAACGGCATTTTCACCTCATTCAGGGCAAAATATTGGCACTCTTTTTGTTCACTCATACTTGGGATCCCACAGCTCAACTTATTAATGAAATTCCCCCTAACAGCTAAAATTAAAAAAAAAAATAACAAAAAGAACCAAAAAATACTGAATATGAATGTGGAAGAAAGGCAATTTGATGTTTGTAATTATGGAAGCAAACTCCACAACCTGCTGAATGTATGCAAAATGGACCCTGCATGGTGTATATAAGAGCAGTATGTGCAGAGAATAGCAGCAAGAATTGAGATTTCTTTCTGGTAAAGAAAGTCATCATCCAGAATCCGAACCATGAGCACCAAGGGGGCTTCACTGAAAGGTAAGAACTTTAACATTCACCTGCTGACAATTTTTCTACTTTTTTCTATTTCAATTGAATTAGGAGGCATCTGAAATCCAGCCATGTAATTTTCCAGAAAGGACAAAACCAGAAGAAAGGAGCTTGATGCCTTTTATCATCTAAGTGTACCTTTGCATTGGGTGGTGTCACAAAAAATTGGTTTGAGGGATATCACACCTGCATGTGAAAGTTTGGATCTGGACTGGTTTGCTGTACCACTCAGAAGGCTATGACCAGACATCATTACCCACAAGTCTAGAGGTGATGTGGTAATTTTGAAATGAATGTTTTCAAAACATCCATCAACTTTCCAAGCCAACAAGTCTCAGATTTTCATAGAGTTATTCCTTAGAGTACTTTCCTAACTGCAGTGTCCAACATGTACCTTGCTCATGGGGGAGGAGGAAATCTTACATCAATATTGTGTAAATCCACGTTTTTGAGTGTAGAGCTATAAAGAAACTTATCATGAGAATCCTTAGGGATAGTTTTGCTGATATACGATGAACACTTTAATTGAGCATTTTAAATATTTCTAGTGAACCATTATAGGTAACAGGTCAATTTCCAGAAGTAAAAGTCTCAGAACATTCATTTACCAAATATTTTCTTTTAATTATTTGCCATTGTTTTTCTCTGTATATTATATTTCACTGAATAAAAAACTCTGCTAAGTTAACATGAAAAGTTTTAAACAGATGAGGTTTTTTGCTTAGATAATGAGAAGTCCTCTATATCAGTTTCAAAAGCTCAGGAGAAAAGAAAAAACTATTACTGATTTCTTAGAAGTAGAAAATTTAGGGTTAAACTCTAAAGAGCAAAGAAGCACAGCTGGTGGAAATCTTTTGAAGGAACTCCCAGGACAATCACAGCCTTAAGAGTGACCTAACCACCCTCCCACAAAAATTAATTTTAACTCCAAATGTTTGCAAGGAAGAAAAGGACCTCTGGGAGGAGGAGGGAAAAAAAAAAAAAAGAAAGAAAAAAAACCCAATCTATTTTCCACACTTATATGTCTGTGTAAATATAATTATGTATCTATATTTGCACTAAGAATTTTGATTTGTTTTTTTTCCTCCTGTTTATCATTCTGTTATAAAGCCAGGCACGTAGTAAGAATACACCACAGCACAGGTTACCTTGTCTCCTCAAACTCTGTAACTGGCTCTGCTATACCATGAGGATGACAGAGGGGAGAAAGGATAAAAGAATTATAGAATTACAGTGTATCCGTCCTCCACTGTTGTTCAGCAGCCAGCACAGGGGTTACTCTGAGCCGTGTGACAGCACACCCCAAATCACCCAGCATCTGGCTCTCACAGCTGCTTCTAAATGTGCCTGCAAGTCAATGTGAGCCCATTTCACCGTGTTTTAAACTTGAACAGGTTTGTTGCTGGCAGCCCTTCTGGTGTCCCACATGCTTCTGACAAAGGAAGGAGTGACCTCTTTGCCAATCTGCCCCAATGGATCTGTCAATTGCCAGCTCTCCCTTGAGGAGCTTTTTGACCGAGCAGTTAAACTTTCACACTACATTCACTTCCTCTCTTCGGAAATGTTCAATGAATTTGTAAGTAGTCTTTTCCTGAGAGCAAGAAAATATAAAATTGCAATTTAATATTTTTTAATCACAAACATATGTTAACATATAATAAGTAAACAAATATGACTGCCATCTGGTGAAAGTCCAAATGGTGACCAAATTGGTATATAGTCCTGAATGTTGCTAAGATCCCCAGCACTTCTATTAAAAGATACCATTTTTCCATCATTCTTTATCTGTGGAACGTTTGTTTTTGCTGGGTGCCGGTTCCACTCTAGAGACTCACCAGAAAGTTTTGACCTTTACAGCATAAAAGCAGTGATAAAAGCTATGGAACAATGATTAGCTAGCATAGTGTTTGAACTGAAGCTCTTACCTTCTGTCTCAGTAACACCTGTCCTGATCTGCAGGATGAACGCTACGCCCAGGGCCGGGGTTTCATTGCAAAAGCTGTCAACAGCTGCCACACTGCGTCTTTAACCACTCCTGAAGATAAGGAGCAGGCTCAGCAGATTCATGTAAGTCCCACTTCCAGTGTAATTCAGTGTAAGATGGAGCAGGGGAAGGCAGGGAAGGAGGGTTACAGAGGGTTTCAGAGTGAGAGGGAGATCAACTCAATCAGAATAAAAAAGCCAGGAAGAGGAAAACACCAAAAAGCCAAAGTTAATTTAACATTTGCTGATACTAAGTTAAAAACCATACAGCATACATAAGTACCAGTCACTTTCATCATCCCTTCCTTTTCCTGTATGGTACGTTTAATCCCTGCATCTTAATTTCAATTAAAATACTACCTCATGGAGCAATGCCAGTTACCATGTTTGTGCAGTACTGAGAACAATACAACCTTCAAACATTATCTTAAAACATCTTATAAACAATTAATGTATTTGCAAACATAAAACACATTGCTGTATGTAGACAGAGGTAAATAGTTTTCCTGTAACTCAAAACACTGGCATTACCAAAAAAACATTGAATATTCTTCCTGTTACCAGTAGGCAAAACTGGTCACATCATTATCGAAATACAAAGACCCTACTGTGAAAATCTGCAAAATATCTGTAAATAGAAGCGCACTACATACATACATCATTTATAATAATTATAAACTTCAGTGAAGATGTCTCATTCAGTCTGTGCTCACAGATACGATTTGAAAATTCTCTGGAGAAAAAAATAAGCAGAGCTGTATAAATGGGGCTGTTCCACAGTGAAATTTCTACCAGTTTTATGGTGGTAATGTTATCTTCACAATCCCACAGTATCACCAGCTTCTCAATGTGTCATTTAGAAATTCTAGTGGGAGCAATAGAATTCACGGCCCTGGGCTGTCCATCTAGCAAAGAAGAAATGGTTTTAATACTGCCACAAACTCAACCATAGGCTTGATGAATTCCTATTGCCCACAAGAAAGGATAATTTTTAAAACCAGAAAGCTACTGCTGGAAGCACTATTGTTCAAAGGGGAGGACAGAAGAATTATGTAGAGGCAATAAAAGCTATTTGGTGGTTTACCATAATGTGCACCTTCCAGTCAGTACTAAATTAAAAAAAAAAATAATAAAAATAATCAGTGGATTTTAAAACATTCATTGAAAATCGGATAAGGAGTTCTGGGTTTGCTTTCACAGAGATGAGACACAGTTATGCTTGCTAGTCTTTAATGCTGAGAGTGTTCAATTATATTTTTCACTGCAATATGGCTCATGCAAACATTGTAGAACATGATGACACCAATGAAAACTTCAAAAATGCAATTGCACAGAGGTATCTAAGACAGGGCTATAGGGCACATTCAGTGATAGGTGCTGGAATAAATTCCTAAATCAAAATGTCTGAGGACACTGCTCTAAATGCCTTCTAATTTTGCCAGAATTTAGCTTTCTTCTTTTAACCACCTTTCCTTACTATGTGTGTGCAGCATGAAGACCTACTGAATTTAATACTGGGAGTTCTGCGTTCCTGGAATGATCCCCTGATCCACCTGGCCTCTGAAGTACAAAGAATCAAAGAAGCTCCAGAAACCATTCTCTGGAAGGCTGTGGAGATTGAAGAACAAAACAAGCGACTTCTAGAAGGAATGGAGAAAATAGTTGGGCGGGTAAGTGGGTCCTTAGCACCCTTCTAGACAATTGCTTTAAGGAAGACATGTACATTGATAGGCTCTCCCTACCTGGAATGAAAGGAAACAGTAGATGTGAAGATTAACAAGGGAGAGAAAGTAGTTGAGTCTGAGAACTTTTCAGCTTTCTTCTTTCAGATTTCTTTTCTTCTGCTATCTTGTAATTTCTAAAGAGACAATGTGATATGATTGTCACAGAATAACCCATCACACTCCCAGTTATGCTTCAGGGGAAGGTGCAATCATCAGGACTGATTATGGTCATTCTATCTTTGAGTATTTTTAATTTGTAATCCTGATTGTTTAAGGATGCATCTCCATTTTTTTCCTTATGCACGTATTTATACATGTATAAGTTTCAGCATATTTATATGCATCTGTATACAAACAGGTATTATGCAGAGGTTTTGGAAACAGATACTGTGTTTAAAATGGCTCTGGGAGTCTGGGCTATTGAAAAGATGTGGCATACAAAATAACCCTGACATCTTTAATTTCTCTTTTCACACTATACTGATTCCTCTGGATTCTGTGTCTGACTTGGTTCCCCCTATACTTGTGAGTTTAGACAATAAGACTGCTGTCTCACAAAACCTGTACTTGAATAGCTCTTGTTACCACTAATTGATTGAAAGCTTTCCTGAATAAAATCAGCTCTCGCTTGTTTATTTTTAAAGGGGCCTCTGTTAGTCAGTGAATTTATCATTCTTTCAGTGAGTTAGATCTTGACAAGTGGTTCTGACTTCACTGTTCTGAGCAGCTGAACAGCGCGAAGAGTGCCACCATCACTGTATCCACCACTTCCCACTAGATCACTCATGGTCTGTCTTTCAGTTAGCTGTCTCTTCTGAAACCTTATACCATCCAAGCTACAACTACATTTATCAGTGTAATCAAATACATCTCTATCTATGTGTAAAAAGGGCACAGCTGAGGGTCCATGATAAGAGTAAGAAGTCAGGTACTGCTCCAGTTGCCCTGTCACCACCTTCTCATTCACATTATTTACAGAAAGAGATAAGACTGGCTCATTCATTAGTGTCAAACCATATTTTTAAGTCATAGTGGGTCTACTTTTTTTTACCTTTTGCTTAAACTGAATGATAGCAGCTCCACAGATACTCTCCTGTATGTCTTTTCAAAGTACTTGTGTGAAATAAGGACGGTGCACAAGCATGAATAGGCACAGACTTCCTTCCTGCTATGAAAGGTAGATTTATGTGATAAGAGAAGATTAATGATTGTCTTCAAACAAGGAGACCTAAACCAGTCTTCACCTCAAATACTAACTCATTACATGTGTTCCCACATGTAGCTTTCTAACATTAGAAGTCATTGTACCATTCAGCTGCTTTTTTTTTTTTTTTTTTTTTTTTTTTTTTTTTTTTTTTTTTATGAGGCCCAGTACTTCTGAATATGTATTACTGAGGGCTTTTTCTGATAAGGACTGAGACTAATCTGTTGCACACGAACAACTTCTAAGAACAAGTTTTAACAAAGTTTTCAAGGTGGAGGGAGCCAAAGAGAGATGTCGCTCATGAGTCCAAGCATGACGAAAGGATTGATTTCTCTGCAAAGTCAGGTTTCTCTGAATACTGGTTAACACACTAGTTCTCTTAAAATGCTACTGAGGCAGTTATGCTTTTCACATATTTTAGGGAAATAAACTGAAAAATCTGATAAATTTGTTCAAAATCTGAATGAAGATCTAGAACATTATATGGAATAATGTGAGCCACAACAGAAAGCACATTAGAAGCCATACACTAGTAACTAGCATTCTTTAAGAGTAGTATTTTAAATTCTGCCTTCTACATCCAGTCAGGCTCACTATCATTTAGTATTAATACTACTTTGTGCATTTAGGTTCACTCTGGGGATGTCGAAAATGACGTTTACACTCCGTGGGATGGACTTCCATCCCTGCAGCTTGCTGATGAGGACTCCAGGCTCTTTGCCTTTTACAACTTGCTTCACTGCCTCCGCCGAGATTCCCACAAAATTGACAACTATCTCAAGGTTTTGAAGTGCCGCCTAATCCACGACAACAATTGTTGAGTAGTCATGGGCCTGATCATGTACTGAAGTCATTCATCATGTGTTCTTGATGCTTTGCCACTTTATGAAAATCGCACTGTATCATCAGAATACAGATGATACAGAAGCTGTATCATCAGTAACTTTTCAGGCATGTTTGTATGAATTCTGGCTGCAACATTAGCACCACATGTGTCAGTGCTTTAAAATATTACCAACTACTTGTATGACAAGATTATACTTTTCTGTCTAATCTTCTCCCCTAGTAGTATTTCAGTGACAAACAGGTCATGCAGATACAAATAAAAATGTTCTTAAATCCAAAAGAATGTAACACTAGGTGGTATCAGTGAATAAAAAATAGATGGCATGGTGTATACCTTTAACAGTAGCTTCTCTTTTGGGATCTCAATCTCCAGTTACTGATGACAGGATTTCTTACTTGCATTGGTCCTTACAACCTGTCCAAAAAGAGAGGAAACAAAAAGCAGGGACATAAAAAGGCAGATTAATCACACTAAACTACCCTAAAGTGATTTTTTTTGTCTGAGATCCAATCTGCTTTTATCAACTCCTTTACTCGGTACAAAATCTGTCAGAGCAGGGGAGAGAAAGGTTAAGAAATCCATCCTGGCTAGCACAGCCTTTGATTCCCTATGCAATCCATGGAGAGAGAAGACACATCCAGTGTTTTTAGAACAGAAATACAGATATATTTACATCTCTACTGATGTGAAAAGGCATTTCCAAGGGAAGTTCATTATATTTGAGGCAACTATCTGAGGGCAAAGGAACCAACTGGTTTCAGTAGGTCTCAAAAGGCAGTGATGGGCATTCATATCATATCCATATACCTTTCACATTCCTCCCAAGCAATGTGGTGGTTGCAGTTACTTGGAGAATTTTGACACCATAAAAAGGCACCAGTTGAGCTGAGGCATCCTTCGTCTCCATTGTCTCCAGTATATCTCCATTCTCCAACTCATTTGGGTTGAGTCAAAAAGTTTTTAGGGCACTCATTTGAGAACACTATGGTTACACATTGAAAACTTCTAAAGATCAAAACAACTGACTACTTTTGAAAAAATCTGGCTTACAGTCACACAGCAAGTAAGAAGCCAAATTTCAACAGAAGCCGCTGACCGTAGACCATACCAATATGTTGTCTTTGTAAGCAATAAATAAACTCAGCCTTGGCTTCATCACACAGTTTTAGCAAACAGGAGCTTATTTTTGAATTAGCTTCTCCTGGAGTTGACTTCCCACTAGACAATCATGCTGCGCTGCTCCAGGTTGGAGCCAGCTCAGAGGAATAGTGAAGCACCAGAGAAGATTGGGTTTGAGGGCTTAAGCCTTTCATTACCATAACAGAATAAGCACAGCCATAATTGGTATTTACGTAAGAGATTAGACAATACCAACTGCTAGGAAGGTCTCATTTTAGCTATTTCTCCAAGAACGCGATGATACTTGCATTTCTAATTGTGTGTATATATATATATATATATATATATATATATATATAATGGCCTCTTAATCTCTTCATGTTTTCAATTATTGATTGCCTCAGGCTTTTTGTGAATAAGTATACACTAAGTCAAATTTTAATCTATAAAAATCATCTTTACAGTAAGCAAATTCCTTGTAGGACAGTCACAACTGACAGATTTCTTAAGCTCTGAAATGCACAAAATCTGGGGCATATGCAACAGCAGTTTAACAACACACAGCTGTACAGCACAGTCATGTAAGAAAATGGGTAAAATTTGCCTGGCAAAATGCAAGTGTCCCAACTAGAATTTAAAATGGTTTTAATATTCTGCTTTTTGTTATAATGCTAGTGGGGGGGAGGGGGGGGGCGGGGAACATTTTAAAGGAAAGGGAAAAAAAAGAAAAATAAAAAGAAAATATGTCCTTTGTAATTATCATAAGTGCTTAGAATTACAGTGTGAGTTCTTATTGAAAAGAAAACATGAATAATGGGACTAGTCTGTATTGAGCTGGAAAAACAATTATGCCTCACTGAGCAAACTCCTACCTCAGAATCTCTTTAGAATTCAAAAGCAACTTGATTAATAGGGTACACATTCATAATTTTACACTTATACGACTAGATCTAAAACAATTACTTTCATTAACTGCTTAAAAATTACAGTGCTAAAACAACTGTTTAAAACTTGTATGCACTGGCTTTATATAGCCTATTTTAGCACAATTATGAGTTTTTTAATTTCATAAGGAAAGGTACAAGAGGATGACAAAAAAGATAATCTAAACAACTGAAAAGCTATCTGTTTTGCAGCTGCTTAACTAAAGTAGCATTAAAAAGTGATTTGGTTAATATTCTCAGTCATCACAGCTGTCACAGAGACAGAGAAAAATAGAAGCCCATGAACACATTCCGAGCTACACTTTTACTGTGAAGTAAATGGACAAAGCCATGGACAAACCCTTCAGACTCCTAATGTTCAAGCCACAATACAGGTCAATTGGAAAAGCTATTTCTTAGTGTTGCTGGTAGGAAAAACACACACTTAACCTACTATTAGTAGATAAATATTAGGAAAAATGTCTTCAATGTGAGGGTGGTGAGGCAGTGGCACAGGCTGCCCAGAGATGTGAATGCCCCATCCCTGGCAGTGTTCAAGGCCAGGCTGGGCTCTGAGCAACGTGGTCTAGCAAAAAGTGTCCCTAACCACAAGGGGATCGGGTCTTTATCTAAAGATGATCTTTTAGGGCCCTTCCAAACCAGGCTATTTCTATGACTCTGATTCTAACATTTTGTTAATTAGCATAAGTTTGTAAGTCCTGAGCAACTACTGTTGTTTGTCCAACAAGAAATTACACAGCCAAAAATCTTATATAAAACTGAACTTAAAACAATCATGCTCTTTCTAAGTAAAAGAAACTGATATCTGTAAGCATTTTTTTCTAAGTGTATTAACTCCTGGCCACTTCACAAAATAGCCGGTTTTCTAATTATTTATTCAATGCCCAAATTTTCCATATTTAAAAATTTGTTCATATCTTTACTTCTGTTCATTAAGATTGCATGGTGACAGGACTGGAAAGGTCCACTTAGCTGAAATATAGGTTCTGTTCTCTTTTAAAATTATATTCACACTCCCATAGATGGCACTAAATTTAAGATAACACTTTGTGACATGAAATCTAAATGGTAGGAAGTTAAGCCAATTCATCACTGAGAGCATTTATCACTGAACTCAACAGAGCAACATAGATACAGAAAATAGAAATCTGACTTGCTTTTCATGTGTGTTTCAAGACTCTAGGATGATAGGTAATCACTGGAGCAAACAGAATACTTTGAGGATGATTTTAAAGCCAATAAGGGAAGATTTTATTCACAATATAAGTCATTTGGAATCAGCTGCTTAACTAATAATGTGATAATCTTTCTATCATCCTTTTTTTTTAACTCTTTCATTTGAGATCCTACAAAAAGCCTCCAGTGTTTGGTCTATATCATGGCAACCCACTGTACAATAGAGTTGACCTTTATAATATAATTTCAAAGAAAACCCACAATTTTAATAACAAGGGATACACAGTGTAGAAACCACGCATCATCTAAATTTAATTTTTGAACAGCAGAAATTCTCTGAGGGCTACATTTTAAACAGAGTCTGCTTATTGTAGATGAAATTTATACAAGCAACCAATTGTGTCAGAAATGTAAACTCAGTAATCATACTTATGTATATATCCATACACTAAAAAATCCAGTAGTACAATCATGCATGGGAATAACATCACAGGCATACACATTCTCACTGAAACTACTGGGTTTGGTGATCTGTAAAATAATAACATATATGACTATTTCTGTAACTAGCTCTTAATGACTTGCAAATCACTTTGCTAAATCTTGAAGTCTGATGTTAAGCCTCAATGTTCAATTCAACTGAAATTTAAGATTAACTACACACAGATTTATATTAAACGTTTAAAAGAGTTTAAAAGTTTTAAAACATTATGACACTCTTTTGAAATTCTTCATGTTCATATCCATCTTAATGAATGAGGCTAAATTCAACATCAGTCTTGGAAAACAGTAGAAGTGTCAGACATGGTTTTCCAACTTTTTTTTCTCCAAACAACTCAATGACTACCAGATAAATTTTAGCAATATCTGTTATTATTGGGATTTTAAAGTTGCATTTAGCTATGTCCCCCATTACTAAATACTAAAAAAATTTTTTAAACTTACATTTTTTCATGGTAATTTTTTGTTTCCTTTCCCGCATTCAGCTATGGGGAGTAAATAAAAACAGACAAGCAATGGTGCCTAATGTCCTCTGAACTTTTTTTCATAAAACTTTTTTTCACTTATTTTCCATACAGTGAAAGCAGTACAAACTGTCCTTATTTTTGGCGAAAAAAGTAAGAAGTCAGAGACTTCTCCCATTTGACTTTTGGAATATACAAAAAATGCAAGGCCATTTTGAAGGTTACAGAGACCATCTTCCAATCTACAATTTTAATTTAATAGGGAAGTAAAAGACCATGTTGCTTACATTGTCACTAGTTCTTTTTCATGCCCTTTTAATCACCCACCAATCCCATGCTAACATTCTGGGGTTTAGGAAGACATGTCTTGGACAGTACCCTTTTCTGCAAATTCCCATCTTTTAAATAATCTCAATATTTTCATTAAAAAATATAACGTAGTAGACAATATTTGTTAAAGAACACTTTTACCACAAATTCTTCACTAAATTTCATCAAGTCAGCTACCAAAAAGTGATGAAAGTGCCAAGCATAATAATGAACAGTATTTACTGACAATATTTAATAACAGTAGTCCGTCAAAAAGAATTTTCTTATAAAACATCACCACACTAATTACAGGAACAGTTTTCCCTCTTTTTTTTAAATGATGGGGTTCATTACACCGAAGAGCTCACATCAGTTATTAATTCACAAGTGACAGTGTGAGTCATCAAAAATGCTAAGAGCACTCACTCTAGTATATCAAAGAAGCTGAAAGTTCATACCGTTTGTACCATATACCACATCTTGCAGAAGATTATGCAAACACTGAATGGTCAACATGTATGTGCACTCAATCAATAGGATTTGATTCACGCACTAAATTACTCTAAAAATATTCCCATTCAATAATGGAATATTTTTCCTTTATCAAGATGACTACCTCCATCCAGCATTCAGTGTCAACTAAGAATACTATATATTTAACATTATTACCAGAATTACTAAACCCACACTCAT